AACACTTGCGCCGCCGCTTTAGCTGTCTTTAGACAATGTGAAAATTGTTTGTGCGAGGAGATTATTACATAACCAAGTTCTGCCTGTTTCTCAACATTTGAAGGAGTCTGTCCGTCCTGAAGTCATTAGAAAAAAATCAACCTTACCGGTTCAACTGGTGCGGAGTCTTTGGATCACACGCTAACCAACATTAAAATGTAAAACTCAACTAGCAGACCAATTGCTTAATCCGATCGGACGCTATTGAAGTGCTTGCCTGTTGGCGTCGGATCTGATGGCTCTCCCCAGGCTGACATCCGCAGCAAACATGACTATTCTGAGTGTTCAACTGCAAGCGTCCAATAATTCATCAGCATATACTTAATTAGCAGCCAATAAACCGCAAGGTAAAGGGAAGATATCTCAGTTCTTTAATCTCTCACGACTTGTTTTCCCACATTTTACTTGTCATTTGCCAGTTCACATTGCTTTTTTAACGTTCTTACGATTTTTTTCGCTGCGCCCTGTTGCGTCCTATTCAAAAGACTAGATAGGCTTCTAAAATAACACTTTTCATTAAAATATTAAAATTTATAACTCATCTAGTCTGCCAGTTTTGCGATCACAAAAATCGTTACGGACCGCTTCTTAATAGTGGCCGACAAATCTGCTCACACCTTTTACGCCACTGTAACCGGATAATCTCTTCTGCCTATACAAATTCTCAGAAAATCCCACTTCAAATATTTCAAAGCAGAATATAATGTGGCCGCAGAAGAATTCCACCGTCAAAAGCAAAGGTGACGTGATATTAATTCAACATAAAGAAGCTTGGAAAATTAAACTTTTTAGTATAGCTTTCATTCAAACGCCAGTAACAAATGGAAAATATTCTGTGTGACGATTCTTTAAATTAATCCATTTCAACCTTGAAAGGACAACCTTTTATCCTGTCCTAGTATAAATTACGGGTCGTGCAGCGGCGTTTGGATCCAAAATCACCACAGGAATCATGAGAGAGATAGTTCACGTTCAGGCTGGCCAATGCGGAAACCAGATTGGCTCTAAAGTGACATAATCTATAAAATTTAATTTTTTAGTTTTGGGAGGTTATTTCCGACGAACACGGCATTGATCCAACTGGAACATATGTCGGTGATTCAGATCTGCAGCTGGAACGCATCAACGTTTACTATAATGAAGCGAGCGGTGGTCGATATGTTCCTAGGGCAATCCTCTTGGACTTGGAACCTGGAACGATGGATAGCGTTAGAGCCGGACCCTTCGGTCAGATTTTCAGACCGGACAATTTTGTATTCGGCCAAAGCGGCGCAGGAAATAATTGGGCAAAAGGTCACTACACCGAAGGCGCGGAGTTAATAGATTCTGTGTTGGACGTAGTTCGCAAGGAATCCGAATCTTGCGATTGCCTTCAAGGTTTCCAACTTACCCACTCCCTTGGTGGTGGTACTGGTTCTGGAATGGGCACGCTTCTGATTTCGAAAATTCGAGAGGAGTATCCGGACCGAATTATGAGCACATTCTCCGTTGTGCCATCACCTAAGGTGCGTATATAGTTCGTAAGGTCGCTTCTAAACCCATATTTTAGGTTTCGGATACCGTTGTTGAACCCTATAATGCAACATTATCAGTCCACCAGCTCGTTGAGAATACAGACGAAACCTACTGCATTGACAATGAAGCACTTTACGACATTTGCTTCAGAACACTCAAGCTGACTTCGCCCACATACGGAGATCTCAACCATCTCGTCAGTGTAACGATGTCTGGCGTCACCACTTGCCTCCGTTTTCCAGGCCAGCTAAACGCAGATCTCCGTAAACTGGCGGTTAATATGGTACCATTCCCACGCCTCCACTTCTTCATGCCAGGATTTGCCCCACTTACGAGTCGCGGCAGCCAGCAGTATCGTTCTTTGACGGTTCCTGAACTAACCATACAAATGTTTGACGCAAAGAATATGATGGCAGCTTGTGATCCCCGCCATGGTAAGTATCTGACAGTTGCTGCAATTTTCCGCGGTCGTATGTCAATGAGGGAGGTGGATGAGCAGATGATGAATGTCCAGAATAAGAACTCCAGCTTCTTTGTGGAGTGGATCCCGAATAACGTGAAAACTGCTGTTTGTGACATCCCACCTCGTGGTCTTAAAATGTCAGCCACTTTCATTGGCAACAGTACAGCGATCCAAGAGCTTTTCAAGCGCATCGGCGAACAGTTTACGGCCATGTTTCGTAGAAAGGCATTTTTACATTGGTACACTGGAGAGGGTATGGATGAGATGGAGTTCACGGAAGCGGAATCCAATATGAATGACCTCATCAGTGAATATCAACAGTATCAAGAAGCGACTATCGATGAGGAGGAGGGAGAGGTTGAGGAGTATGACGCGGCTGAACAGTAAAACTATTCATCTCTTAATAAAGCTTTCCTTACTGTTGTTTATTCAAATACATTCTCTACTGTTGTTCACATCGCTGAAGTGAAGTCCTTTTGATGACAGTCTCAGTTTTAGAGTAATTTTTAAAGCATCTATTCCACGTGGATCGTTTAGTTGGCTTCCGATAGCTCTGGATGCAGTTATCTAAGCATTTGTACTACAGTGCCCGAAAATCATCTGATAGGCTGAGAAAGCTGCAGCTAACCCACTGATTTATGAAGCTTAGTGAAGTTGCTATGGCAAACAAAATCATACCAGACCTTGTTTACAGACTAAAGATGATTAACGTGTTAGTTTCTAAGTAATTACTCAAACAGTATCATTCGAACGACATCAGAATCCCAAATTTTAGCTTTTATCTGCCCAACTTTAAATTATAACTGCTTGGTATTTTACATTTAAGAAGCAAGTCTATTGGAAAGAAAATGAGGTAAGCACGAACAGTGAATGTCTTTTTACTTCAAAGGCAAGACTGACAGGATGCTAAAATTCAAGTCAGTAGGCCAATAGTTCGCCAATATAACTGCAAATGTGACTGGTAATGTCGTAATATGTTCATATTCTAATATATGCGACTTACGGATTCAAGACGCTAGATACAGGAAAAATACGCTTTTGCAATTGGTTAAGTATCCAGAGCTACTGCTGTAAGAACGCGTTTTATCGCGTAGCATAAATTGTGTCAAGTACACGAAATCTTGTATCAGTGGGAACTTCATTTTCGAAACCTAACTACAAGCAGCATTAGTTTTAAAGTCCCCTCATCCGAGCGCACAGTTAATCCTTTCCTTGAGAATTCTCAGTCAAGTAAATCAAGTTGGGTCCTACAAAGCAATTGAAGACCGGCCGTTTCGTCGCCTGAATTTTAAATAAGCAAAACAGTTAGTGCTGGTTGAAGC